ATAAAACTGAATTTGTCATTGATTTATAATTAAGCAGCAAAGGGCGATAAACATGAAATTTCCTCGTTCTAGTTACTGGTTGTGTTCTAATGGTTGTGTTTATGTTGTTTTGTTTTGTTTTATTTTGTTTTGTTTATGTTGTTTTGTTTTGTTTTGTTTATGATTTATTCTGGTTGTGTTCTAGTTCTTTTTCGTGTTCGCGTTCGTGTTCGTGTTCGCGCTCATGTTCGTGTTCATGTTCAAGTTCTGTGTTTTTTCTGTTATATCTGAAGATGACCACATAGTAGGTCGAAAGCTCATATGAAATAAAATTCAAGATCTCTAAAATACTAGCTGCATTTATTCTTTATTACATACAATACCAGTTACTGCCTCTAGTCCAAGAATAAATATTGCTTGTTGTGTATCAAGAGGAATACTCGTTACATAATCTACTATGCGCCAGTCGAACGTGCCTTGAGGTAGATTTTGTTGTGGATAACTATCACCACTCGGTCCTGTCATGTAAAGCATGATTTTAATACCGTTCCATGGATTAGGTGGCACGCTAATTTTATCTGCTTTAACAACTGCTTTTATTCGAATTTTACAACCACGCAACGTAGCCGCTGGCAACGAGATGGAAACCAATGTTGAAGGACTTTCTTGTTGTTTTCGTTCAATATACAGTGCATTATTACGTCTATTTGTTATCACTAATTTTACTAATGGTCCAAGAGTCTTATTCCAGTATAATCGCTCGAAGGTTCCATCAAAATTGTGTTGTACGATAATATCGCCTCGATTGATAGCACTAACGAAGGCAGACGCCATCAAAATCGTTAACAACAAAGAAACATGAACCACTTTCATCATTTGAAAACCAACAAACATTTGTCTTTAGCAATATTTTATCTTCTTAAAATATTAGCAATGCAACAATAAGTTTTAGAAAATAAGACAATGTTTGAAAAGCAGACATGCATTTATATCATTTTATGTGAAACTTAGGCTACCAATTATTTATTGATTTTAAAGAACGTAAAAGCACAGAATCCATTCGTGTTTAAACAATTAATTAGTGTGAATGTATGATGAGATAATTGGTGAGTTTTACTCTGATGAATTAGATAAAGAACTAGGATTTAACGATGAGAGTACTGTCAACACATTATCATGGTTCAATTTTCAAAAGAAACTGTATTCTAATGAGAAGTCATTATTCTTGAACACAGCAGCAAATCCTCTTCGAATGTTAAAACATAGGTATAAACAGATTTATTTCAGATACCTACAGCATGACCCATAAATAGCAATACGATAAAAAAAAATTGGATATCTTCATCCTACCTCTTATCCAGAAGGCTGCATTTCTATTGATGATAGAGAAAACTTCCGAGTTTTTCCTATAAGGATATTCTTAAT